ACTGTGGTCGTTGTGAATAATGCAGGCGGTTCGCCGAGGCCTTCGTAAGAGAATGTCTTGAACAGATGGGTAACCTAGAACTTCTTAGAAAAATCCAGAAGACCAGTATCCTCCATAGCAGCATGGTCAGTAACAGACATATCCCAGGCCACCATAGCCACGCCCCAGGCCACTGTGGCCACAGCCCGGGCCACCGTAGTCACACTCCAGGCCACCATAGCCACACCCCAGGCCACTGTGGCCACAGCCTGGGCCACCATAGCCACACCCCAGGCCACTGTGGCTGTGTCCCAGGCCACCGTGGCCACAGCCCGGGCCACTGAAGCCACACCCCAGGCCACCGTGGCCACGTCCCAGGCCACCATAGCCACATCCCAGGCCACTGTGACCACGTCCTGGGCCACCGTAGTAATTGTTGTAGAAGCTCATGGTGTGAGGAGAAGGCTCAGGAGAAGAACAGAGGCAGCTTCCAGAGCCCTGAGGTTCTGATGGACACGGAGCCTCGTGTACCACCCGAGCGGGGGTGGGGCTGACCTCAGGCACTGCTGGGTTCACGTTCCAAACTCATTGGCATCGTCACCACCTCAGGAATGCCTCATAAACCAGCATGTCCAGGACAACCTTCCTGTGTGTCAGGGAGCCACCAGGGATCGCGTGTGCCTCTACTGAAAGATTCTTCTAGTTTGGTGGCTCGTTTACTCTTCACGTGAGGTCTAAACCATATCACTCGCTACCGTGAGGTCCTACAACGCCTTCGGGTGTCACCTCTTGAACAGGAGAGACGACACAAAAGAAGACACCGTGAAGACACGCAGCTCCGGCGGTCGGTCCGGGAATGATGAGGGTGGTGTGTTGTATTTTGTGGAGCAGTTTTAGCCACTTTGATTTATGCTTCACATGTATACACACCCACCTTCTGTATATGATCAGAAGCCACGGTGGAGTCGCGGACATGACATCCACGGGCCACGATGACACAGAAATGGAAGGAGGCCTCCTGTCAGCGGTTCCAGCTTTAAACTCTGCTCTAGAAACTACCTAGGGTTTCCTGACATCAAGGTCCTCCCGCTGTGACCAGCAACATAGGCTCACGTCTGGGGGATTCTGGTCCAACATGTACAACCTCAGCTTCGCTTTGAGAACACAGGCAGCCCCGACGGGGGAACAGACGGCGAAACACCCGGCGTTTGAGACTGTCAACACTGTGGGAGTTAACGAAAAATGGAAAACGGTCCCCAGCTGAAGACGACCGAAGAGATGAGGCCAGCAAATGCCAGGTGGCATCTGGATCGGATCTTAGAAAAAACAAAGGACACTCGTGAACGACAAATACGAGGGCAGATTAGGTGAGGATAGTGTACAAGGTCAACCTCTCAGTTTTGGTCACTGTGCTTGGTTGTGAAAGGTGTGACTGGGTGAAGGGGACATGCTCACATTCCGAATATTTTTGTTGTTGTTGAAAGTATTACAGATGTCCCCCTTTTTTCCATTGACCCCCTCCTTCCCGCCCCCACCCTCCTCTTGCCTCCCTCCCTGGTGTCCGTGTCGATTGGTTGTGCATCTATGAGTATAAGTTCTCAGTATTTTGGTAACATTTGGTAACTAAAATCATTTCAAAATAAAAAGGTAGGAAAGAGAATTTAAATGCTACTTATAACGTAGAAATAGACACTTCGAACCTATATGATCCTGTTAACCAATGTCAATTTAATTTAAAAAAATAATTTAAAAACTAGTGAATACATAGTAATAAAAATGCTGCTCAGTTGTATCGATTTGGTCATTTATCAGGTTTTCGGTCCCTGAAACTTCCAGGCCCCTGCCGTCTGTCGGACACCGTCCTGCACAGGATCCCTGTGACCACGGCGTGGGATTCTGGACTGAGTGGGGGCAGGAAGCCAGCTGGACCCTGGAGAGCGACACTGAAGGGTGAATTGAGGTGAACTGGCTGGAGCAGAGTGTCCCCTGAGGAGAGCGGAGGTGGAAACCAGGGCGGCGGCAGACACCTGGCCGGCGCCCTGCCCGTGGGGAGCGGAGACTGGAGAAAGGAGAAGGGGAAGGGCCCCGAAAGCCCGTGGGGAGCGGAGTCTGGAGAAGGGAGGAGGGGAAGGGCCCCGAAAGCCCGTGGGGAGCGGAGACTGGAGAAGGGAGGAGGGGAAGGGCCCCGAAAGCCCGTGGGGAGCGGAGTCTGGAGAAGGGAGGAGGGGAAGGGCCCCGAAAGCCCGTGGGGAGCGGAGTCTGGAGAAGGGAGAAGGGGAAGGGCCCCGAAAGCCCCCGGCCTGGCCGGCAGAGCAGGAGCGAGCACGGGGCGGGGCGAAGGGCAGGGAGGCTCCGGGCGGAGGACACGGCGGATCTGAATGCCGCTCGGAGCCCTCGGGAAATAAGAGGACAGAGGACGGAGCCCCTGGAATTGGCGAGATCAGTCCCGGCAATCCCTGCTGAGCAGTTTTAGTGGGGTCCTGGGGACCAAACACCAAAAGGGGGACGGGGGCTGGAAGCCACTGTGGAAACACCCCGAGCCTGTGCGGCCGGAGGGAGAAAACGGCACGTTAGCTGGAGACCGTCGAGGGGGCAGCGGGGTCACTTTGCTCTGTGTTTGACGATGGAATGTTCCTAAGAACTAAATATAGTTCAGAAAAGCACAGGAGAAAACCGATTCTGAGGAATCTCATTGCTGCAATGCTCTTGCTGTTATGATTAGAAAGAGAAACTCAATTATTATTATTATTTTTTTAATCCTCACATGCAGATGTGTTTTTTTTTTTTTTTTTTTTCTATTTATCTTCAGACAGAGTGGGAGGGAGGGAGGGAGGGAGACATCCACATGAGAGAGACACATCGACTGGTTGCACCCTCATGACCCTGACCAGGGCCGGGGACAAACTGCAACTCAGGTGCGTGCCCTGGACCAGAATCGAACCTGAGACTCTTCGGTCCATGGGCTGATGCTCTAACCACTGAGAAAAACCAGCCAGGGTGTGACTCAATTTTTAAGAAGAATCAAATTAACTCAAGGAAGGAGATCCCTGGAGATACAGAATGGTAAGCGGCACAACGAGGCACATCTACTTCACAAATTAACAATGTCTCTCATGGCTCCTTTAACCAAATACCAGGAAGAATCCACATCAACTATAATTTTCTTTTTAATTGGCCTGTGGAATTTAGTCATCTCAGTCTGCGGGGACGTTCTAGGAACTTAGGCTGGAAGAAGACTGTCATCATGTCATTTAAGTTAATTAAATTGTTACTGGAACCTTATTTGATGTTATTACTTTCTTGGCTGGGGCTACTTTTAATTTCTGTATGGGAAATGTGAGAAAAATGCAGTCAGATGTCCTCTTAATTTTAATATCAATCCAGTAAATGGTGGGTTAAACAGCACAATGGGTGTCTACTTTACAAAAATGAACCTATTTAAGGACACAAATGGAATGAACATTCAAAAACACACATGGATGAATAGTTGAGTGTATTTGATTGGATCTTTCATAGTGAAACATTCTATCTTATTAAGAGATTGGTTCTTGTTTTGTTTTGCTTTGTTTTGTTTTTATTGATTTTAGAGAGAGAGGAAGGGAGAGAGAGAGATAGAAACATCAATGAGAGAAAACATTGATTAGCGGCCTCCTGCATGCCCCCCACTGGGGATCGGGCCCACAACCTGGGCTTGTGCCCTGACTGGGAATTGAACTGGTGACCTCTTGGTGCAGGGGTCGATGCTCAACCCCTGAGGCACACCAGCCGGACTTAAGAGATTGTTTTCACTTATGAGATGTACTTAGGAAGACAGGTGAACTGTGAAATTTCTCTAAAGTTCGTGTCTTTATTCTCATGACCTTCAGAGGAGAGTTGGCTAAAATATAGGCTGTGTCAACACTTTGAACTCTCTGTTTGCTTAAGGTTGTGAGTGAATACATAAAAAAAGATTTGGACTCAGAATAACAGAAATCTACTGATAGATTCTACTTGAATGTTGAAGAATGCTACCTCCCCACATTCATTATCTTGAAGGAACAGAAGTACATGTTTTCATCTTTCATTTGAAGTGATTCTCGCCTTTCCAGTACCTCCCAGAGGGAGGGATCATTACAATAACTGTAATAAACACCATGATAATTCCGGCACCGGGCAGGGTTACAAAGTATAAAGATTGGGAATCTTGATAAAGGAAAAGACCTACTAGATTGATAGACATAAGTGTATGATGTCAAGCCGAATGGATAGTTACTTAGAATAGAATTGTAATGCTGATGAGAATACTAGCTAATTTGTATAACTGTGTATCCAACCTATAGGAAAAACAGCAGAGACATGTAATCCCAGGAATAACTTGTGTCTTTCAGGCCTTCCGTAGAAATAACACATAACAGAGAATTAGAGACATGAGTATGGGCAGGAAAATATAAGGCATTTTGCTCAGACTTGGTTTTCTGGAAACTGTAATTAGTTGGGTTTTATCAGCCTCATGGGAATGAGAGACACATGATGGTATCAGCACAGAAAGGGAACAGGATCCCTGGAGAGAATAATTAATTTTGATCAAGAGAAGAAAAAGTCATGAGTCAAAAAAAGTGTCGGTCTTATAAAATGTTAAAAAAAAAAAATAGTAAAAATAAAGGGGCCAAGAAAGATACGACTGAGATTAACGGAGTCTTTGTCCTTGGTAGAGAGGTGGCCTTGCAGACCAAAACGCAAGTCCCATGGGCGTGCCCCTGTGAGAGAGTGTCCCCTGTCCTCCGAGCCCTCGATGGGTAAGCAGAGTCTGCACTGAGACTCTGCTTGGGGCAATCACCCCAAACAGCTAATAGCCCGCAGGCTCTGTCTTCTGGTTGGGGAACAACAAACCCATTAGCTTAGTCATAAGATTATCCAGTGACATGAGACACGTGGTGGGTCCCACCCCACTGAGGGCTATAAAAGGGCCCTGCAGGGAGAGGTGACCAGACAGAAGTCACCCTCACACCTTCTCCACCTGAGACACCCTCCTCACCCGCACCATGTGTGGCTACTACGGAAACTACTACGGGGGCCTCGGCTCCGGGTGCTGTGGCTACGGCGGCCTGGGCTACGGCTGTGGCTGTGGCTGTGGCTACGGCCGTGGCTACGGCTGTGGCTGTGGCTACGGCTGTGGCTACGGCGGCCTGGGCTACGGCTGTGGCTATGGCTGTGGCTACGGCCGTGGCTACGGCTGTGGCTGTGGTTACGGATGTGGGTACGGCTGTGGCTGTGGCTATGGCTGTGGCCGAGGCTATGGCTCTGGCTTCGGCTACTACTATTGAGGATGCCACGGGGACCCACCCTGCACACCTGCTCGGGACACACGGGCCTGAGAGCCACAGGCTCTGAGCCTGCTGACGCCCAGCCCTCCGGGGCCCTCCGGGTCGCACACACCACCTGGTCCTGTCCTGTCTGACTCGGGAGCGGGTCCTGTGAAGTTTGCCCTGCAGATGCCCGTGGGTGTCTCGCGGGGACGATGCTGTCACAGATCCCGCCCTGGACGCCCTGCAGGAGTCATCTCTCTGTCCTAATAAACCTGTCCCACCGAGACACCGAGCCCACTGTGCTTATTTCAAGCCCAGGACTATCATCGTGGCTGTTCCCTCACGGAGCTGAGGGAGCAGTAGCCTGACTTAGGGAACCACTTCCTGTGATGTTTCTACCTGGTGGCTCTGCCGAGCCCCTGCTTTGACCGAGGAGGCACCGCCGGGGCCCTCACCTCCCTCCTGGAACGGGGCGGAGCCGACCTGCGGGGCAGGGTTCAGGGTGAAGCAGGTGGCCTTCCCCATTCCCCTAACACCCCCTGGAAAAGCGACACACCGGAGAGCTGTGCCCCGAAACCCTGCCCCGTGGGCACCCCTCAGGAGACACGCACGTGGACAGGCACCCCTGACTAACCTTCGGGGCACGCTGGGACAAGGAGAGTTCCCGGTGCGCACCCCACATGAGCGGCAGAGCCCTCAGCCCGACAGCGCCCCCACCTGCTGTCCCGGCGGGAACTACGGGGCTACGCAGTGGGCCCCCCCCCCCCCTGTCGTTCACGGCTCGTTGTGTCCAGAGCCATCAGGGGCTCCTGACTCTTGTCTTTCCCGCGCTCGGCGCATGTCCACGGTGGCAGCTGTCAGTCACTTGCTTGTCCACTCACTTTCCGTGACTCGTGTGTCCGTAGCTGGGCGATGGTCATCCCTGGATGCAGCATTCTGGGGGTGCGGGTAGCCGGGAAGGAGGTGAGGAGGGGTTTAGAGAAAGAGAAGCCTGGACCCCAATTCATACAGCCCAGGAAGGGAACTGAGACCCCAGAAGGATCACAACCCAGAATAAAGAACTTTTTTTCATTCTTTTTTAAAAATATAAACAAAGCTGGAGACAGGGTGCGAGGGGGGGAGCAGAAACATCTGTAACAAAAATAAATTAATAAAAAAATAAAAAATAATAAAAAAACATGTTTTTGATTTTTTTAGAGAGAGATAGAAACATCGACGAGAGAGGAACAACGATCGGCCGCCTCCTGCACACCCCGTATGGGGATCGAGCCCGCAACCCGGCCTGTGCCCTGAGCAGGAATCGAACCCGGACCTCTCGGTCCCTGGGACGGCGCTCAGTCCACTGAGCCACACCGGCCGGGCAGAGCCTCTGTTCTTCACAGTCAATCTTTTGTGAAGACTTGTCGTTCCTACTTCCTTGAGTCATGAAGTTTATAATTTCCCATCTGAGACTGTGAGGAAACCGAATGGTCCTTGTCTAGCTCAGGAAACAGATTCCAAAACGATCTGAACTTCTCCGTAGGTCGTAACATTGGATACAGTAAATTCGGTACTGAATGAAAGAGACGATAGCCTTGATTATAAACCCAAAGGAAACATGTTGGAGATGACGGTTTTCTCAGACCGGCTCCTTACACACGTGTGAACGGAGAGACCCCGGCTGACCTCCAGCCCCTCGTGGGCTGCCTGGCTCTTCACGGCCACCACTCAGCCCAGCAGACGTCTTCCTCGCGGTCCTCGCATTGGCCCCTTCGCTTCTGCGAAGGCTCAGACCACGAGTCGCTCCCTGAACCTGAGCAAGGAGAGGTTCGCCTGGACCCGCTGCACCGTGTCTCTCCTCGCACTGAAGACTTGGGCCCAACTCCTCATGTGTTGACTCTGGTCGGTCTGTCAAACAGGGAGCACTGACATCGAGGCTCAGAGAAGCGACTCCGTGCCGATGTCACTACGCCACACGCATGTGTCCACACACACATTCATTTCTCCCAGAATTTAGTTTTGAAAAGTGTCAAACCCACAATGTGGTGGAGACAGCAGTGCAGTGAGCCCCGGACACCTTCACCTGCACTCGGCGGGGGCGGGTTCTGCCACGTAGTTTTCTCTCTGTCACCCCAACACACACTCACACACACGCCCGCACACATACACACACGTGAACACACAGAGACACACTCACATACATAGACACTCTCTAACACACACTCACACTCTCACTCAAACATGACTGCTGACCCATGGACACTAAGTGGCTTCATGACACTATGAGGAGAGGAGGGACGTTCTCTGAGACACCACCACCCCATGGTCACCAGAAGAAATCGTTTTGGATACAACACTACTGTCTAATTCCTAGTCCATCTTCTGTTTTTCTCAAGGGCCTTTTTTTATTACTTTTGATGCAGATCTGTTGGTGGGAACGATCCTACTTTGCAGTTCATTGTCAGTTGTAACCCAGTGTCTCATGAAACCCGGAGCGTTTCCCAGCCTCCTGTTGGGCCATGATGCAGCACACGGATACATTTGTATTGTGCACAGACAATTATTCACTAGAAAATGCCACCATCTGTTTTTATTGCATCAATTATGATTACCTGTTTTATAAATTAATACTTTTAAAACAAAGATTAAGTTAAATATGCCCCCAAATTAGGGAAATTCAAAGCTTCATCGAGCATGGAGTGGATGTGTGTTCTAGAACGAACTCGAACACCGAACGAACACACACGGAGTGCGGAACCGACTCGGTGAGGGAGCTGTGCCAGGAGAGGACGGAGGGCAGAGGCCAGACTGTGGGGACAGAGGACTCGGGGACAGAAGACTCAGGGACAGAGGACTCGGGACAGAGGACTCGGGGACAGAGGACTCGGGACAGAGGACTCGGGGACAGAGGACTCGGGGGCAGAGGACTCGGGACAGAGGACTCGGGACAGAGGACTCGGGGACAGAGGACTCGGGGACAGAGGACTCGGGGGCAGAGGCCAGGCCGTGGGGACAGAGGACTCGGGGACAGAGGACTCGGGGACAGAGGACTCGGGGGCAGAGGACTCGGGACAGAGGACTCGGGACAGAGGACTCGGGGACAGAGGACTCGGGGACAGAGGACTCGGGGACAGAGGACTCGGGGGCAGAGGCCAGGCCGTGGGGACAGAGGACTCGGGGGCAGAGGCCAGGCCGTGGGGACAGAGGACTCGGGGACAGAGGACTCGGGGGCAGAGGCCAGGCCGTGGGGACAGAGGACTCGGGGGCAGAGGCCAGGCCGTGGGGACAGAGGACTCGGGACAGAGGACTCGGGGACAGAGGACTCGGGGACAGAGGACTCGGGGGCAGAGGACTCGGGACAGAGGACTCGGGGACAGAGGACTCGGGGACAGAGGACTCGGGGGCAGAGGACTCGGGACAGAGGACTCGGGGACAGAGGACTCGGGGACAGAGGACTCGGGGGCAGAGGACTCGGGACAGAGGACTCGGGGACAGAGGACTCGGGGACAGAGGACTCGGGGGCAGAGGCCAGGCCGTGGGGACAGAGGACTCGGGACAGAGGACTCGGGGACAGAGGACTCGGGGGCAGAGGACTCGGGACAGAGGACTCGGGGACGGAGGACTCGGGGACCGAGGACTCGGGGGCAGAGGCCAGGCCGTGGGGACAGAGGACTCGGGACAGAGGACTCGGGGACAGAGGACTCGGGGACAGAGGACTCGGGGGCAGAGGCCAGGCCGTGGGGACAGAGGACTCGGGGACAGAGGCCAGACCGTGGGCACAGAGGACTCGGGGACAGAGGACTCGGGACAGAGGACTCGGGGACAGAGGACTCGGGGACAGAGGACTCGGGGGCAGAGGCCAGACCGTGGGCACAGAGGACTCGGGGACAGAGGACTCGGGGCAGAGGCCAGGCCGTGGGGACAGAGGACTCGGGACAGAGGACTCGGGACAGAGGACTCGTCACGCCAGACACACGTCGGCCTGTTGAAAGGCTGTGCTTCCCCGGGTCCCCTCGTCGGGAACTGCTCTGTACAGTGGGTCCCCGTTGACCAGCTGCTGCCCACCGGGTTCGCTCCAGCAGCGAGGACACGGCCCCAGGGCTGGGGGTGCTGGCGGAGGCCCCGCCTGGGAGCGGCCCCGGAACCCCTCAGCTGACGCCCCTCCCACAGGGTCGGCCCACTCCGGGAACCACCTCCCTGCTTGGCTGTGTGGGCGTCAAGACCCACCTCCCTGCCCAGCCCCAACCGCGCTGCGGGATGTCCCACCCAGGTCCCCCACGTGCTGTCCCAAAGCCCCACTGACCTGCACCCACGTGACCTCCTCTTCCTTCACACTGTCCAGGGCAGCAGCTGACGGCCCAGTAAAGCCCTTCCTGACGGACAGTGGGGTCCGGGGCAGCCATGGGCCCCGCCCTGCAGCCCGCGTGCTCCCGGGACGTCAGTACTGTGCCGACGGCAGGGGCTTTCTGCAGACGTTCCTCCATGGGGTCTGTCTGCCGGTCCTCAGGGCGAGACAGGCTCCCATGTCCTCAGGGAACGGAGGACGGCTCACGTTTGCTGCTTTGTGCCCACTGGCGGGGACTCGAGGGTGACATGTCCCATCACGGAGGGTGATACCCTGGACCACTTAGTTAAAAGGGTGAGCACCAGATTCCTCCCATCAAATCTTACTGTTTGGATTCTTTGAACAATTAGGAAGTATTTTGCTGGAGGTATTTTTCACTATATAAATATTCCACGCATACCCCAACCCTTACCCCGAGTCTTAACATTTATTTTCCTCCTTGCCTACATTATTTGTGACGATAATGGATTGTGAATGCTGGGTTATTTAATTCTCATCATTGAAAAAATATAGTAGCTGGTATTCTACTGCACAGAACTTTTCCATTCCACTTGATTTAATACATTTATTTAATTCTGTGTAAATGTATGGATGTTTTCAATCATCCATCACCATTATCATGGGCTAGCCACTCCCACGCTCTCTCGAGAGCCAGAGAGTAAATAGGAAAATATTGGTTCAGGTTCTGTCCCTT